CTACTAGCTCAAGAAAAAAGGTCATCTATTTGCAGGGTACTGATCATAACAGCCACTATGTAGGACAGACAAGCAGAGTTGTGTATTTGTAACAGTCTGTTGTTTGTTTCTGAGAGCTTTTTGAGGTACAGTAATGTTATTCTTTTCATAGCTTGCTAAAAATAACTCACACTAATTAACTTCTTACCAAAGTAAGAATCCCATCTCCACAAGGCGAACTGTGTAACAGTATTATTCAGATGAGCACCGATGCAGTGCAATAACCCAGAACATCGAAAAAGGGAAACTGACTGTCTTTACAATATCATCCAACAAAATGGATACCTACACAACTTTATCAAAAAGTGCCTGATCATTCAACACCCCCTTCTATAACACCACCAGTATATCAGTGGTAGAATCTGTGTTTATGTGAATGCTATATATGTCTTATATATATATAAGCATATCTATGCTAGTTGAACTTACTATATAAAGTTTTTTATTATATAGACAAAAGATAGAAGTAGCTAGTAATTGCCTTTAAGAATAGAGCACAAAGGATTACCTTGGATTTTACAAGGCTAGCAAGCAACAAAAGAGCAGTAATTTATGAGCTCAGTGTAAAAGAATAGCATAATTACATTAAAAATTAATGCTAATGAACACTAAAATGGGGAAGGTGGTTATGATGAAAGTTTGTATTCATCTTCTCTGGTTTGAATGATGGCTAGTGGCTTGATTAATGGCTTAATTTCTATCAATTAGTGGGGGGAAATCTCCTGCGAGACAAGGGTAAATTGAGCATTGAATTACATATCATGCTTTTGTGTGTTGAGAAAAAAATACAGCTGAGTCTATCTGATATAAGCCACAATGGCAATCATGATGTGCCCCACTATGTCTGCATTAGCTCTCCTGACAGGCTGGTTGTACATGGTTATGGAGTGTTTGGAGATGGCTGGGAGACAACATTCACTAGCAAGTTCCTGAGAAATCTGCAGCTTTTCCTTCTGTAGAATTTTAATTAGCATCAATAAGAACTCAACAATGGAAACCTAGCAGCAGTGGCAGAAGTTGTAAATTGATCATAGTGCTATGAAACTTTAGGGTTTTTGGGGTGGGAGAGAAATGCAGCAAATATCCTGCAATTTGAAAGATGTTATGATTCATAATATGGATTCCTACCATATTATAAAGTTTTATGTTATTATTTAACATGGATATATGAAAGCATTACATTTATCTAATTTATTTATCTTTATTATTTGTACAACTGCCCATCCCACAAGCATGTCACTCTGGGTCGTGTACAACAAATCTAAATAATAACTAAAGTGATAACATTATATAAACTGTATTTAAATATAAATTAATAAATTAGTTAAGTCTTTTTCCAATAAAAGAAAATGGAGAAATTTATGCTCCAGAGCAATTAGTGTGTCAATGACTTAATCAAATTTTAATCCAAGATATGCCGGTGAGAGTTCTATAAAATAGAAGTTCAAAAAGCTTTGGCTGAGTTCATTCTGTCTTTGTACTTCAACTGCTCCTTCTATAAATAAACTACTATAAGGGAAGAGTTGCCATGTCAAAGCTCATCCTGATGTCAGCACTAACTGGGTCAATTCTTTATCTAAATCTCGGTTTGTTAGTGTGTGTAGAAGTGGGTTTGTGCTGGGTTGAGAATGTGTCCCCCTTTTCAATTTTCAGTGAGAGTGAAATGATTTATACAACCACTTCGAATGTCCTAGTTTTGGTTTGCTCTTTAGGTGTTTCCCGAAAGGCAATAGGAGATCAAGAAAGTGATTTATCTTTCTCATGTTTACTCCAAAGTCTGTAAGATTTATCTTTGGCCAAATGCTCCAAGTAACTTTTTCATGCTCCTACCACATTCCCCGGATTTCTTCCACATCATTTTGTGACCTTGAATAAGCTTGTAGTTTGATTAAAGTTAACAAATGCAGTGACTCCTTTATTTTCAAGAGAGAATGCAGTACTTAAAATTGAGGGGTCCTTGGTGCTCTTTGAGCTTGGCTATTTTCTTGAAGATGTTTCATTACCCAAACTAGGTAACATCATCAGTGCTACCTAGTTTGGGTAATGAAATGTTTACAAGAAAATAACCAAGTTCAGAGAGCAAGGACCTGTCATTTCAACCCTGAGCTATAAATATTCTCCTTTATTGGTACTTAAAATTGAAAGAAAATGTGTAATATGTATAACTAATACTTCAAATGCTATGATTGCAAAAACAATATAATGGAACATGCTGCTGTATATGTATCTATGTATTCTTTATATCTGAAAGCCTTCAGTATAAAAGAGTGCTAACAAATTTATTTGAGTCTGCCTTATGTCAAAAATTATTTCCCTTTCAGTGTATAGTAACTGCTTGTATATTATAGAGGATCCAAATTCCCATTCAGCCTAACATGCAGATTTTCTTATCAATATAATAGAATAAGGTCTAAATCATACAGTAAATCACTTCTGTTATATATATCAGTTCTTTTTCTTTATGTGCTTCAGCTGTATCATTAGGATCATATGCATCTCTTTATATGTTACGCTTGTTTTAATCCTTAAGGCATTAGCTATTATGCAATTTCATTAATAAACCCATGATACCAGCATGTTCTGGTACAGAATTTTGTGTAATATCAGCTAAATAAGAGTGTTTCATAAAATGCACATTTCTTAGTTCTGCATTACATATAGAATATCTGGTTTTTTTAAACATATCCTTATACTTCTTATATTTTAATTATTTTTCAACTTCCCTGACAGTTTGAAATTAATTTAATTACTAATTCCTGCCAAGTAGCCATTAAAAAGCTGAAAACCATGCCCATTAAACATTGTTATGACTTCTAGGTTTATGAAAACAAATCACATGAAGGCAAGTAAGGTGCATTTTTATCTGTAGGATGCATCTTTTCATTTGACTGGTTATATAGTGCCATCTGCTGCTTTTAAGAGCTTTCATCTACAGTACAGTAGTGATGACCTACAGATATAAGCCATGTGAATTGAACAGAGTGATTGAAATTAAAGACTCAGATCCAGGCATTACCAAAGTCCTCAGAAAATTATGTTGATCTTTTTTGTACATTCATATTTTCCTATTTTATCCTATTTAAAAGCAAGAACTGTAATTCTTCTAGAATAAATGATTTATGTATGAAAAAATGGCATCAACACATCACTCACCAATATAAATAGTTCTATATTTAAAGTCTGCCTAGAGTGAAAGGACTTGCTGTCCAATGAGTTAGTATTGATTTTTTTTCTGTATCCTCTTAGCTTTCTGACTCCATTATTTTTTATTTTAGTATGAAATATATATCCCTTCTACTGACATCTGACAAACACTATATGGAAGTCATTTTATCTACCAATAATGTGTTTGTCAACAATATTGTAGACTAATGGATGCAACTTCCTTCCAGTCTGTTTTTATGCAGTTAATATTGTTGAAGTAATTCAGGAAAATCTTCTGTTATTCTATTTCCCTTGAGGAACATGTCCCCAGATTATGATTGTCACTTGCATTAGAGTGCTTCAAATATCTGAGTCATGCCTTTATCTATTTATGGATTCCTATTTTGTATTTATATTGTAAAATGTTGATAATATTTGACAGAATGCATATGGATTGTATCATTTCTTCTTACACCAATTGTGATAGGTTCGTGGGTGTCAGAAAATCAACATGCATGAATATACTTGAGAAAGAGTATTTGCATATGTATGCTTTATTTCAGTATAACTGTGATATGCAAACATACTTAAAAAGAAAGACCAGCATATTATCTAAACGGCACTGATGGAAATATTGAACACTGAAGAAGATGGATTTTCATTATCTAAGGTTTTCTGTTACAGTTTGTCCAACCTAATGAGGACTCTTTTCCATCGTTTCAGTAAAAACATTATTCAATGGGTATACTTTAACAAATAGTTAGTGACACTAAGTCACTTCTTTTGTGGCTCGCATCATTTAATCACTGTAGTGCCAAATATATTTCAGCTGTAGAATATGACAGCATGGGAAGGGATTTGTTAATATTTCTTCCATTATTTCAGTTAACAAAGTGCAGCTTTAAATATTCTGAAAAATTCAATCTACTTATCAACAAATTAGCATACAGTGTTTATATGAATCAATAATGAAATACTCTAGAAGAACTGAGTTGCTTAGCCCCATATCAACTGAACATATTAAGGAGTATTTGGTGTTCTGATACTTTTTAAGAAAAGTGCTTAGATGTCTAGATGATGAATCATAGCTTTAGGCTATGCATTGACCTTTCCTAACTCACCAAGTATCTCACACTCTTGGGTTTCCCTGTCATCTGAAGGAGCTTTCTCTCATAAGATAAGTTCTCTTTGGGTTTTTCGTGTTTATCAGACTACATGCTGTAAATGGAATTCCTATAGTATTTGGTATAGAATTGGATTTGCTGGCCTAAATTGTCACTTTCAACACTTCGATTCTATGAATATATTCTAATGCATCTTTTTGTTGCTCTTAGCATATTTTAACTGCCCTTATTTCATTTCTATCTGTACTGAACATATGTATCTCATGTATTCTAACTCTGGAATTCTTCAGATGTTTCCCAATTGCAAAAATATTGGGGAAACTCATTTTAAAAGTTGCATAGGAATATTAAAATAATATACATGAATACAATATGAATACAAAAAGTAACAGCATATTCCCTACTTTGGCTTGGAAGATGCATTCCTCTTGCAAATTATTTACTGTTTGTTCGGGGGAGATGGCATTACAACTATAATTAAATTTAACTGGTGGGGTCAGCAGACCACCCTATTCGTATTTTATGTAAATGGTTGTTTTCTTTGTCACTTACAAATAGAATCTCATTGGTAGCACCATTGTTTATGTTCTACTTTTCTGTTTTCTTAGCAGAAGAAAAACGTTAGGAATATATTACACTATACAATATTTAAAGGGATGATGAACTATATTGACATTGTACCTTTTTCCACAGATCAAACCAGTCTTGTTGAGCAAGTAAAACGAGTCAAAGAAATTGAAGCAATTGAAAGTGACTCTTTTATTCCACAGACATTTAGATCGAGCAAAGAAGTCAAAAAGGTAACTTTTCAATATTTTTTTCCTTTGCATAGGATCCTAGTGAATACTGTGGTGGAATCTATATATTAATTCAACTGTCATTGACATTGACTGTTTATACCAGTATTACTAGTAGTAATCCTAATCCCTGGCCATTTTAAGTCGAGTACAGATTCCACTAATTACATGACACAGTATTTAAATGTGAAAAATGTACTTTATATTTTCAGACAAACACAAGGTTACTTTTGTGTGCAGAAGAGGGGTTTTTGATTTTCCTTTTCAAGCTGTGCTATATCCCAGAATTTGTCCCCAGTTCAGAATTATCTCAAGAGTAGAATTTCATATTAACCAAGTTAAAAGGAAAAAGAAATTCCTGCTCTTTTCTTCACACATTATTTGGTGCAGTTTTTTCAGACATCTTGCAATTCCTTGCTTTCTCACATCCTTTATTGAATTGTTTGGGTAAATTCTATATACATGCTTGAGGACTCCTATATATTTATTTAGTTTTATTTTAATGATGGTGATCAATGGGATAACAGTTATCGTAGCAGAACCCCTTCACATCCACTGAACACCTTCAACTATTAATCAATTATATAAAAAAACAATATAAGGCCTTCCTGAGGGACAAGAAGATCAAAGCCACAAAAGGGGAATGGCAACTGATGATTCAGCAAGTTAATTTTTTGAAAGTTCAGCAGGTCTGCTACAAGGCAGAGGTATTCTCAAATGATTCATAGAAGAATTAGTTTGTCTATAAAGATTGTTTTATGAATACATTTAGGTCACAGAATCTGCTGATATCAAAAATGAACCTGGAATTACAGAAGTTTCAAATGCTGGTATTGCTGTTACTGAAAAAGAAATAAAGCCTGGAATTATTCCTACTGCTATCAAATACCAGGATGAAAACTCACTTGCCCATCCCAATGTAAGTTTTGCTAATTATGGCAGTCTTTGATTAAAATAATTTATAAAGAGTGTAAGAGATAAGGTTATACAATTTGTTTATCCATATGTGTATATGTTTTCTTTTTTAAAAAAATACTCAAGAACTTATATAAAATCCTGACTAAATTTGTAGCATGAGCAATAAATACTATGAAGTCCAACTCCTAAGTCAGGCGTCTTCAAACGTGGTCCTTTTATGACTTGTGGACTTCAACTTCCAGAATTCCTCAGCCAGGGTTGCTGGCTGAGGAATTCTGGGAGTTGAAGTCCACAAGTCTTAAAAGGCCAAGTTTGAAGACCCCTCTGCTAGGTTCAGATATGAATAAGATTATTTTTCAAAATATTTTTTACTTTTATTTTCAGATTAAATAGCAGTATAGTCATTTAGATAAAACACATTTAAATTCTGTCTGGATACTGCAAGTAGGCTCAAATATGGCTGCAAAATCACCTACAATTTCAGACATTGTAATTTTAATATAATACTGACTATGCATATTGACTGTGTCTCCAGACTCAGTTTATAGAAGTTTAAACCATGAAAGCTTTAAGGGATATAAGATCAGATTTTTCTGGATTTGTCTTCCCCCATATGAATTTGCTGAAATTTGAACTTGATTGTCATTATTATCTTGATTGTCATTATATCTTGCCATTATTAAAAGCCTGGGTATATCATTTTGGGGGAGTAAAGGACTCATTGCTCTTTGCCACATGAACTACTCTGCCTCTTAGTAAGCTTCTGGGTGCAATTCAAGGTTCTGGTTATCAATTTAAGGTTCTCCAGTACATGCCACAAGGCCAGGTGATTTGCAGGACTATCTCCAATAGTTTCTGCCCATTCCACTAGATCTGGCATAGCACGGATGCTCCAGATCTCTCAATCCATGCATTCCACATGAATGAACAAGATGAAACAGTATCATCTAGTTGAACACACATGGATGCCTTCTCTATCGTCGTTCCTGTGCAATGTAATAGCAACACTCCCTCCACATGAGCTGATACAGAGTTTCCTGCCTGAGCAGGAGGTTGGACTAGATGACCTCCAAGATCCCATTATTATTATTATTGCTGTTGTTGTTATGTTTTGGATATAGATAGATAGATAGATAGATAGATAGATAGATAGATAGATAGATAGATAGATAGATAGATAGATAGATAGATAGATAGATAGATAGATAGTATGGATAATAATTGGAAAACAGAAATGTCAAATCCCAAATTTCTTTCACTGGGCAAAGAATTTGATTATTTAGTACAGCTCAATGGCATTCTATGAATATACAAGGCATTCAGAAAGCAGACCCCCTTCATTTTTGTCAATTTTGTTATTCTGCAGCCTGATTCTACAGTTGTTGAAATTCATTTTTTTAATTAATCTACACTCAGTGCCCATAACGACAAAGTGAAAACAGAATTTTAGAAATGTCTGTAAATTTATTAAAAAGAAAAATTGACAAAAGTGAAGAAGGTCTGAATACTTTCTGAATGCACTATATATTTTAGTACTGATTTCTGGCATTAAAAATAGGTCCTTGACTTAAAGTCTGGTTCAGAAAACGCCAGAAATTAATAGAAATTGAAATCACTTTTAAGTTTGTTATTGCACTGCAATGCATCATACATTCCTTGCTAGTAATGCATTCTAGAGATGAATGTAATAGGGGATTTCAGATATTCACAAATCTTAAGGACTTTATTTATCTATTTAACTATGCTGTATATTTATTTTTTTCTTCTTTTTCTTATAGTTATTTATTGACAAGGCAGAAGCAGAAGAAAGATGGTTCCAAAGGCTGATGTCTCTTCGACAAGAGAGGCTAATGGGCAGTCCTGTGGCTTGAGTGAATTAAATAACAAACATACTTTCATTGTGCGTTCCATTGTAAAACAATTCATGACACAATTGAATGAGTATATAAATATTGCCTAGAGTGAGGGTGGAGTGAAGGGAAGTATGAGAGGAAGTATATTTCTGGAATCAGCCAACAGATTTATGTCATATTAAAGGTATTATAAAGACTATACCAAACTATTAAGATTGAATGTCCTTCACAATTCATTAAAGTCTATGGAAATTTACTATTGCTTTGCAAAACAATTATTTGTAGACATATTTTATGCCATTTATTTTCCTAGTGTATTCCTGTTATGCTTGAGATTCAAACTGCTCTGCATGTTATTTTATATCTGATGGGGCACTTCTGCTTCTCCCAAGGGCAGTTCCTCCCAAGTTCCTCCATATTGGCAGTTATGTGTAAGAGACCTTAGCACTAACAATGTCTTCCCACCTAATAACGTTTTGTGACTGAAAGCTAGAACAACAATGAGGAAGCAGTTGAATGAGAAGTGAGAGTCTGGCAATATTATTTAATTATACAAATGACGATAGACACTTTTTAAATTAGTGTTCAGTGGATATAATATTCAATACATCTCTAGATATACTTCAGGTAGAATGCAAATGGGGAAGAAAGCTTTATCTGTTGTCATCAGATTTTGTAAAATCAATATACAAGAGAGGACATACACAAGATTTATAAATAATGAATTATATCCACCAAAATAAAAAAGAGAAAACCTGACTCCTTATTAGAAGATGCTACTTGGTTTCATGAAATGCTACATGGACATGGGAAAAAAATGAATATGCTGAAAACACACTTAGTATGGAAAATACACTGAGGGGGTGAGGAGGGGTCCAGTCTATGCAGCTTCATCTTTCTAGACAACATCTAAATATTTGACTAAAATGTGTCTTTTTATTTTCCATATATTGGTGAACATAAACATTTTCAAAACATAGCATTGCCATGCTCTGTTTCATCACTTCAAACATCTTCTTTGTTACATTAAAGCTGAGTAAAAAAGAAGAAAATTGGTAAAGCATCAGTGAATCACCTGAATCATAAGTACTCTATTCTTAAACATAGATACGTTGTTAAAAAGACTTACAAGAAGAAGATTGAAGAAGGAAAACCAAGACAAAGCTGGTAACAAACATTCACCCTCCCAGCCCAAGACTGAAAGGCCCTGAGTTATATAATGATAATAATAATAGTAAAATTGGAAGGGACCTTGGAGGTCATCTAGTCCAACCCCCTGCTCAGGCAGGAAACCCTATACAATTTTGGACAAATTGATGTCCAGTCTCTTAAAAACCTCCAGTGTTGGAGCATTCACATGGAGGCAGGTTGTTTCACTGGTTAATTGTTCTAACTGTCAGGAAGTTTCTCCTTAGTTCTAGGTTGCTTCTCTCCTTGCTTAGTTGCTAAAGTCCCTGCTGCTGTCTGTGATGGATACATGGCTTCTAAAATACCAAACAGCCAGAAAGCTATTGATTTTGGGAGGATATTATAGCCACCTTTCAGCCAAACACGGGGCTAAGAGTGTAGGACAGTCAAACCTGCCTGTAATAACAAGAAGGTGAAAAAGAGAGAAGGAAGTTTATGAAAATTCAGACGAACTGAAAATAAGATTCCTTACAAGAATTCCTTATAGAAATAAGCACATTGATAAGTCAGTGTCATAGATGTTCTTCAGTAAGAGTTGGTATTTTTTAAAGAATAAGATCTTCCCTGCAAGAAGTCAAGGGGAAAAACCCCTCATTCTTGGTCTATAGTCCACACACACACACACACACACTAAATCCAGATTTTTTTAAAAAAATATTAATCATGTATTTTAAAAAAGAAAAAGGGAATGAGTAAGCAAACAAAAGGAGAAAATCTAGAAAAATCTGGAATTTTTAAATCAAATTTGTATTTTAGTATCTTTTTTCAATAGAGTACATAGCCTTTTATTTAAAGCAATCCAAGCATTGCTAAATTCTGAGGAATAGATTATATAATGATGCAGCCTAAACATGTACACAAAGGTTGCTTTGGCCTTTGAAATGCCTAATAAATGGATTAAATCAATAACAATGAATTTGTGAAGCACATGAGCATCTTTCGTTATTGTTGTATTATTGTCACCAAGTAAGTAGACTTCATAGAATCAGTCTGAAGACTCTTGAAAGAAATTACAGTGTTCTTTAACAGTTCTTTAAATGTTTAATATACTTATTAACCTAATACTTAGTATTGTTTTCCCTTAAAAATACTTACATAAGAAATAATGAATGTTGATTAGTATCAGCTTTAAGGAGCAACTGAAAGTCCATGGCAAAAATTTGCTTCATATTTATGTAAATGTATTAAAAAAATTCTGAGAACTACATCATAGGCCGCTGACCTCTGACACAATATAATTTGTTGTCATATGAAGTACATAAGCATTATTTATTTACTGGTACATTATTGATGATGTCTACTTCATGTATGATAGATGGAAGGGACTTGCAAATGGAGTGTGTCAAAAACCTATAGAAATCAATAATGAATCTAACTGTACTTAGTTTCATCTTATTTTGAGAAGTTGTCACATTTAGAAAAATGAAAACAGGACAAAGTTGATGCCACTCAGTTGCATGCAGTTCACAACATTTCTGTAAAAGGTCAAACCTGTGCTTAAAAGACAAACGTATCAATTTTAATACAACATCAATGGGTTTCAAAAATTAATAAAGAAACTACGTATATGAAGTCTACATTTGAATCATAATCTCTTTCTTAATAGGTAAATATGCAAATTGGTAAAATCTTATTTTCAGAGTAACAATTTGTAAAAAGACAGGCTTACAGCAACCATCACAAGAAAACTATCAGTCGTCCCATTTGGCACATCCAAAAAAAGAAACTAGGAACTACCAAGAGTAAAACTTTATTGAAAGATACATTTAGGCACAGCAGAAGCAAAATCAGTTCTGAGGTTTTCCCGCAAAAACTCACATAGGTAAAAACCCCTTTTCACTCTTGGGCCGCCCACAGTTCATTGTCCACCAATTACATTCAATATTTTTGTTGTGGGAAAACATTCTGCTCTGGTAGCTCTGAGAACTTGGCCTTGGTGGGTATCTCCTCTTAGCAGCAGAAGGCTCTCATGCAGTCCTTAGCCTCCCCCCCCCCTTTCTAGGAATTTACCAACCTCCCCCCTCCCGTTTCTGTTTGGCAAACTGCAAGCTGGAAGTTGATACAGGAAATGAAGAATGAACAATGAAACTGGAATACAGCTTGCAGAAGACAATGGAATTTTGGGGATTCCTCTAGTTTTCAGTCTTTCATAAATCATAATCATTTTTTGTCAAAAGCTTTATGATGTTTTATACTGAGTTTCTTGATATTATGGGGGAAATAGATTGATATCAACTTCTATTATGGTATAAAAGGATTTTTTGTGATTTTTGTCCTCAGATATTAGTAAGACAACATAGTTTTTGCATTCTTAAAACAGAACTCACAGTCTTCAGAAACCTAGAAAGTAATAAATGTTCAGTAATACTTTGCCGATGTCATGTGGGGAATTCACTGGAGAAAGCATTATGTTTGGAAGAGTTAGCCATGAGGGGAAACCAGGCTGCCAAAGAAGATGGTGGCTGGATACCATCAAAGCTGACATCATAACCAGAACATAAAACAACTCAAAGAAGTTGTGCAAGATTGGAAGATGTGAAGAGACCTGGCCCATGGAATCAGTCACAACTGAATGGATATGAGCCGAGGTGGCGCAGCAGTTAGAGTGCAGTACTGCAGGCCACTTTAGCTGACTGTTCAGCAGGTCAGCGGTTCAAATCTCACCGGCTCAAGGTTGACTCAGCCTTCCATCCTTCCGGGGTAGGTAAAATGAGGACCCAGATTGTTGGGGGCAATATAAATATATATATACATTGCTTACTGGTGTACACCGCTTAGAGAGTGCTCGCACTTAAAGCGCTATATAAGTCTCATAAAATAAATAAATAACATCGATGATCTATAACAAGTATAGGTGCAAAATGTTATCTTCTGGTAGCACTTGATTTTCCAGAAAAAATGGTCCAGAGGCCAGGCATGTGTTTCTTTCCTCTCCCTCTTTGTAACTTCTATTATTATGCATATTCTGTAGTTGATTTCCACCTCCTGCTTGATTCTTTTAATGCTTACTAAGGTAATTAACAAAACAAGCTGTTATACATGTCACAATTCCTTGGAAAATCATGAGTATTTACTATATCTTGGGGGAAGAGAGGAACTACTTTCTGTATTGCTTTAAACTGTGGTGTGTTGGCACAATCTTACATCCTACGTTTCCTTGCACTAAAAGAAGAGAATATAGAAGATAAAAATTTTTTAGTGATGCAGGCTTCTGATACCATCACATCCACCTATTCACCTGTGTTCTAGCATGCTCCTAACATCATTTAGTATCCCATTCTCAGTGCTAAGGAGTTTGCATCTGGATTGAGAATGTCATTATTTCTTCTGCAGAATTCTTTTGTTTTAAATGTACTCTTTGGGAGTGTTTCTTACAATTTCCTTAGAAATTTCGTTATCCTAAATTGATCTCCAAAAGTGAATGATTTCCTTTCTTTTGTTTTCTAGATGCATTCTATCACCAACGCACAGCATTTACTTCTTAATAATAGTACAAGTGTGGCTTCATCTTTTTCTGTGCCCATTTAATTAAAAAAAAAGTTTTCAACACTGTTAGCAGAATTGTTCATGTTTGATCATTTCATCTCAATTTATCATAGCTTTTCTCTCTGGCCTCTGCCTCTCTCTCTCTCTCTCTCTCACACACACACACACACACACACACACACACACACACAGGAATATCTCAAGTGGCAGTAGAAAATATTATGAAGAAACAAAATGCATTTAAGACAACCAAATCATAATACTCTTAAACAATTTTATCCAGATTAAGTATCCATGTCTAAAATAAGACAACCCACACAATGCATTGCTTGAATATTTCACAAACAAAACACATTTTAAAATACTCTATGCAAGTATTTATCCCTAAAATGCTATAAAATCCTAAAGAGGATTCAAACAATTTTATTTTCAAAGCTAGGAGGTGTGAAATGAGTGGAGTCTTGCACCTAAATGGATCAAGAATAAGAACCAGAAAGTTACATAGATCTTATATAAAAATGATCAAAGACAATTTGACCATGCTTATGCATACATTAAAAGGAGACACCCCCAGAGAGTGTTGCTTTGCGGCTGATAAGGAAACAAGATATCCACAAAGGGAGACACAGTTATTCTTCATGGTGTGAAGGCATTACTGACACATTATTTGAAATGGAATTTAGTAGCTTTGATATATTAGAGTGTCAACATTTTAATTATTATTTTAATAAACTCATCCTATACTGTGAAAGGAGGGAGACAGATAAGGAAGCACCCATTACACAGCCTTGAATTTATGTGTCTGCTAAGGCATACATTCCATAGGCATTTAACCACCTGGAAATAAATTCACATTTGTAGTATATTTGTAGTTACAATTTCTTGGTATTATGGTATCCTATAAACCAGGGGTGTCAAACTGCCGGCCCGTGGGCCAGTTGCATCATGCCGAAACCGCGCCCCCCCCCCCCCGCTTCAGCAAAGGGGAAAAAGTCACTAAACCAATGAAACCTATTCCAAGCATCCTAAGCAAGCTCATACATCCAACACCAAAGATCACAAAAGAGGAATAATTTGTAATACAAGGCAAGGACAATGAAAACCACTGTGTGGGACAAATAAGTAGATAGAAAGACATGATAAGAACTCTTAAATTTAACATCTTGGCAAGTTCAAACAATTTCACCTGGAAAAGCAGTAGACATTTCAGACTAGGATCCAAAATATAAGAAGATTCCTACAATGTTGTTGCTCTGAACACAAGCCATTAATAGACACTGAGATAAGTTTCATCTGTAAACATTCAAAAAAGGGAACGTCCAAAGATCAAAGAAATATATATGCAGCCCTAACATATCCTTCCTCATCACACTCCTCTTAATCAGGCTCCAAATAAGTAGGAACCAACACCAGAATCAGTTTGATCTAGTAACTGACCAACTCACTTCACAGGGTTATTGTGAGGAAAATAGGAAGAGGAAGGTATATTAGGTATGTACACTATCTTGAGTTCTTTAAAAAAAAATAATGAAGGTAGGATATAAATAATATGTGTATAATATGAATCATAAATCAAAATGAAGATTATGACTTTTTGACTGATTAGGAATATGATCCTTATTTAGCAAACCAAATGAAAACATTGATATTAAAGCCTTATGTTAAGAAAAATCCAAGTTTAGATATGGTACAGGGCCATGATAAAAAATTATAATGTATGGATAGTTTCCAGATTGGATTGAATACTGTATCTGACTTGTTTTCAAACATCAAGTACTTTTTTACATCAGGGCATAGTCCTACAACTCTTCCTGCCATTCATGCTCTGAAAATCAAAATTTATTTGAATTCTTAGACTTTTGGATTGGACTACTTACGTATACAGTAGCTCATTTCTGGCTAAACTTTTTTGGGATGTGGAACTGGGGAAACTTTATTATATCTTAAAGACTGATAAGGCCTCAAAGACCATCTGCCCAGTTTAGTATAGCTATCAAACAAGTATTTCTGATGCTGGTATATGGGTCCTGCTTATTCTTGTTAATACTTATCTTAAACCAGAAGATGGCATCCAGCAATGCAATTTTTAGAGGGTTTGCTTTTAGCTTCTCGGAATGCATTAGACTATAATATAGCATTCCAAGGATTTACCCTTGGAAAACAAAAACATCTGAAATCAATTCATGTGCAGTTATGTCAGTGAAAACAGCTGTTACGTTGTAAAAAGCATTTATAAAATAGCCTTGATTTCTGATTGGTAGTTTTCATAGTATATATCAGGCATGTCAAACTGCTGGCCCGCAGGCCAGATGCATCATACTGAAACCTCGCCGACCCCATTGCTGGCAATAGGGAAAAAGTCACGGTACATCGCGCGATTTCACGTGATGTTGCGAGTTTGACATGCCTAGTATATATGGAACTTTGCCTACTGAAATAGGTTTGTGTGCATTCGTTTTCTAATTTTTTTAAGTCTTCAGAACTAATAAAATGTCCTCCTTTCACAGGAATACGCAAAGCATATAGGTTGTTGTTCTACAATGTCTAGGTAGTGTTTTCTATGCTGCCTGGGAGAATTTAGTTCATGGGTATGAAATAAATATTTGAAATAATTACATGAATGTAATTTAATAAATATTAATGGTTGATTATGTGCCATCAGGTCAGTGTTGACTCTTAGTAACCACAGGATGATTTGTCTGCAACTTGGTTCTTTAGGTCTTCCAGTTGAATCTATCCATCCGGCATGCAAATATTAATTTATGGTAAATCATGTGAATTTGCTGTTTCTACTTCTAAAATCATCCTGGTTGATTAAATTGGTATGAAACACTTTCATTTTTTTCATGATTTCATATTATGTTAATTAATTAATTAATCACAAATAAAACTAAGCCTAAACAGAATATATCATATACCTTAGCAAAATACACAGATCTAACCAGTGTCTTCCATTTACTTTTGTGAAATCAAGATTATTCATGTGCTTTTAGGATTAAAACATTTATATTATGGATATAAATATAAATACATGGATAGATGGACTGCTGACTAGTTCTACAATTATTTTTTTAGGAGCATTTGCTTACAC